CAGCAAGAGCATGAAAGTTCTCCTGGATGATTCCCCCGAGGAGGAAGAGACCCGGCTCCGCGACCCGCCGCCCCCGCCAGCAGGCAGCTCCGCCGCCGCCGCGCAGGTAACCAGAGCGGGGACTGGGTTAATAATAAGGGTGTCCAGCATCTCGGCATCCTCGAGCGCTCTGTGACTTCCTCTTCCTCCAAAAAAGGTTGTGGTTTCCGCATGAAAGTTCTCCTGGATGATTCCCCCGAGGAGGAAGAGACCCGGCTCCGCGACCCGCCGCCCCCGCCAGCAGGCAGCTCCGCCGCCGCCGCGCAGGTAACCAGAGCGGGGACTGGGTTAATAATAAGGGTGTCCAGCATCTCGGCATCCTCGAGCGCTCTGTGACTTCCTCTTCCTCCAAAAAAGGTTGTGGTTTCCATCTGGGTCACTTATCTGTTCCCCTGAGGTGGTGAGGTTTGGGGTGACGACTGGATATTTATAAAAACAAGGACTCCAGCGGCATCTTAAAGACTAACCATTTTATTCTGGCATAAGCTTTCCTGAGCTGCAATTCATTTAATCGGATACATTTGCAGAATGGATATGAGTTTGCTGGGATTTTGCCTTCCCGAGCTTCTTAAAACCGTTCTCTAGAAGTGCCGGACCTGTCGCCCTTCATTCCCATGACTTTATACTACAGGATAATTTCCTTGTATTACCCCCAGCACAGGCACTGCAACTGGACTATTAAATACAATAAACAAATGATCCCGAAGGCATAATCCTCATTAAACATAGGTTATAGCTGGAGTGTTTTTATACTTAGAGGCATCTGTTACTATTATTATAGTAGACACAATGTTGTATCAAGATTTTCACTTTTAGTTTTCTCTCAGAACACAAAAGATTGCATAAATACTACCAAGGTCCATTTACAGGCTGGAGTAAAGGCTCTGCTTGGCTAAGGAGAACGTATCAGTCAACTGATAAACACAACATCTCAAAAACATTCACTGATTGCATTAGTGAGTTTAATGACTTATCACTATCAGTTTTGATACTTTTTTTTGCGAGGGCCTTTCATTTATGACATCTGATTGAAGTTTAATTTTTCTGGGTGCGATGTGCCAGCACGGAAGTATTCGGTGATGTAACTTTTGATGGCTTAGCATTGGTGTGTAGTTAGAAATGTTTTACTGAGTCTATGTTATAGATTTGTGCAGTAATTATAGAGAAGTCTGTAAATCAGAACAAGCTGTAATAGCCTGTTTGTTGAAATAAAAATGGCTTTGATAATTGTAGTAAAATGTTAAATGTAGTATAAAACATTTGTTTAGTTTATTTAAACCATTTATTATGAGAGAGAGAGAGAGAAACTGAAATGTCAGTGTATATATTAATATTTAAAAATATGGCTAAGATTATGAATGAATCTGTTTTAATTCTAATGAATTATCTGAATAGAATATCATTCAAAACAAAAATGCTGTAGTTTTACAGCTAATCCTTAAGAAGGATGCATGACATAAAATAAGGTAGTACAACCAATATTGATCAGGCCCTAAACCTATCATCTCCATGCATCATTGAGGTAAATGCGTTTTGCAACTGACTTCTCTAGGAACAGGATCAAGTATCTAATATACAGCTATATAGTTGGTTCTGCTTTTGCTATGAATTCTGCTTGGAATTCAGACCTCCTCAACCCCTGATAGTGTGTGCCTCTTCATTGCACAGCTTGGCTAATTGTTCTGTATACTGCAGGCCCCGAATAAAGAGTTAGCTCAACAAGAACTAGACTCAGGACCCCTTGAATTGTCAAGCCATGTCTAGACTGCAGAAAAGATCAGCGCTGTGGTGGTCATTCTTTTGGCATCCGATTTAGTGGGTCTAATAAAGAACCACTAAATTGAATACTAAGGGTGCCCCCATCAATATCAGACCTCTTACTCCTCATGAGGAGTAAGGGAAGTTGATGGAAGCATTTCTGATGTTGACCTCCTGCTATGGGGACACATCGAAGTTCTGGTTAAGGTACATCAACTTGAAGCTATAATTGCATACCTTATGCCAAACTTTGGCTGTAGTGTAGGCCTGGCCTCAGTCTTGTGGCCCATATGTTCAGATATTTGTTTGTGTGCTTGTAAGTAAATGAGACCCTAGTGTTACGTTTTGGTGTTGACATACTTTTCATGATAACAAAGTAGATCCCTTTGTGTGATCATTCTTTTCTTTGAATGTACATTTTCTTTTGGTAATCTTCTAGTTTCGTTTTGCTAAAAGGAAGAAATTATATTTTTAGATAGTGTTATGAGACCATATCAAGCTCACTTTGAATTTGTGAAATATTGTCTTCCCTGTGCCTTAAAATCTGATTTATATTTTTATAAATCAAGTCTAATAATATTTTCATAGACTTCTAGCATATAACTTACATAATTAGTGTTAAAACATTTGTAACTACAGTGAAAGGTTTGTTATCTGGCACCCATGGGGAATGGGGATTGCCAGTTAATTGAATTCCCCAGATAACAAAGCTTATTGCTCTGCCTCTGCCCCCTACTGGCAGATCTGGCTTTTGGCAGCTTGAGGAAGGGTGAGGAAGAAGGAGGCACCTGCTGCTGACATCAGCTTGTAGTGCTGGCTGTCAGATGTCCCACAATAGCCAGCTGGACAGACTGAAGTCAGGTACATCTGCCTGAAGTTACAATGGTATTGTGGGTGAGGGCAATGCCACTTTATAAAGTGTACTGGTTAATGGAGTGCTGGATAACAGAGCTTTCACTGTTATGGTTTCTTACATTTTAAAATACTGAGAAGTAACATCTGTATTGTTGTAGGTAGAGCTGGTTAGAACATTTTAGACAAAATGAAATTTTGTCAAAATAAGCTTTTTGTTGAAGTTTGAAACACACTTTTAAAACATGTTTATCTGTTTTGAAAAAGTAGTTTGGAGTGAGAATTCAATCTCTCGTTCTATAGTCAGGTAGTTAGACACTAGCTTGAGATAGGGAGGTTGGGTTTCAGTGTTCTTACTGTGCTTGCTTCAAAGTGATTTGAAACTACTTTGACTCATCCAAAGTTGGGACTTGAACCTTGTTTCCCACACTTCCAAATTTTGCCCTAACTGTATTACTATAGGAGGTACAATTCCCTGCTTGCTTAAACACATTCAAATTTTCTTGGCTAATCTTCTAATTATGTACCCAGGGAGTCTTGGTGCATGTACTTAGATAGCTAACTTGACTTGTCTTCTATGCTGCCCCAGCCACACTTGCAATTTTATGAGACTATCTTGAGCAGAACTAGGATATGTCTACACTGCACGCTTATTTCGAAATAAGCTATTCCTGAATAGTTGTTCTGAAGTAGATGATTTTGAAATAGCATGTCCACATTAGGGAAGCCTGCCTCAGACTAATTTTGAGGCTTCCCTGCAGTGCAGACATGCTATCTCGATTTAGAGCCCCAGGAGGCACTGGGGAGGAATAACTTAGAATAGCCCTGATGAGGGGCTATTTCAAAATAGCAGCAGTGGAGCATCTACATACGCCTTATTTTGAAATAGCTATTTCAGAATAAGTGTTATTCCTCGTAGAATGAGGTTTATAGGTTTTAGAATAAGCTGTTGAAATTATTCAAAATAACGGAATGGCTGTGAAGATGCTCGCATAGTTATCTCAAAATAACGGTGCAGTGTAGATGCACCCTTGGAGTGTGTGTTTGAATTGGGGAATCATAGCTTCTGTGTAGACATACCCTTGACAAACAGAACTTAATCCTGCCTTCCCAGTCAAAAAGCTCAGGTTTTGATCAGAAAATGGACATTGAGACACTATTTTCATGAAAATATCAAGAAGATTTTCATTCCAATCCAATTACTAGTTTCCTAAAACAGAATTGTCATTCTTAAGCCACCTGAAGTTGTAAGTGTCTGCATACCACATAGATGGTTGTTGACATTGTTTAAAAACTGTTTCCTGAGAGTGAAAAGACAGATAAACTCTGAAAGATTAGTCATGACTTCACATACCTTTTACTGGAAAATTCTTTCTTGCATCACAAAAATGCCTTTAGGTGTATAAACCCTTTTGCCTGATCATTACCATCAGGTTATAATTTCATCAGAGTCAGAGGAACAGCTTAATGTACTTTGTTGATTAAAGAAGGAATTAATGAGTGAATAGAATTTAATAAAATTAAAGAGCACACGTTTAGTAATACCTACTGTATTCTCCTTACCTTGCTCTTCTTACTGTGTTTTCAAAGAACTTTTCAACTTTGTATGACAAATATGAATTTACTTTATGATTCAAGTTGTAGTCAATTGTCTGTACTTGAAAAGATGTTTGCTTTGTATTCTTGTATGACTTACTATGTTAGCACTCATATTAAATAAGTGCTCATTGACTAAAGGTTTAATGTATGTTTAATTTTTTATAAAGTATAATATATATCAAACAGAACATTAAGATGTCAGTGATGTGGCAATATGGTATGAAACTGTAATACATGAGATGTTGATTGTTTTAGTAAGATAGCTGATTGGAGGGCTGAAAAAGGAAAATTTCATTCTTAAAATTAAAGAAAAGAAAGACAGTATAAAATACTAGAGTTCTTTTTCCATAACCTATTCTCATTTCATCTTAATTTTGATTATTCTCAGATAGAAAGAAATGCAAAGGCATGCTTCATGCTAATTACAGTTTAGATCTGTTCACCAAACATTTCAAAGCTGGGCTCTACAGAGTTTTAGTTATCTTTTTAATTAATGTGTTTAAAAGTCTTTGGTACAGTTTTGACACAAGCTTTCATGTTAAATGAATAAAATTCAGAAAGGCCCCGAAGGAGAGGATAAGAAATCAGTAAAGCTTTCAGATGTGTATTTGTGAAATAAATCAAATAAGGGCAATGACAACAGTTTTTGACATTAAGGATGAAGAAACAGTAAAGCTTCTTGAACAGTTGGCTAAATTGACTGAATTGGAGAATGAGTGCTTGGTCTTCTTGCTTCAGAAAAGAGATTCTGCTAAGATACATTCTAATTTGGACTGTAAGCCACACATTTCTACTTTAATTCATGGTTCTTCATTTTAAGCTTTGGGATACTTTATTAAATGTTAGGAATGGACTAAA